CCGCTACCACTGCAGCAACTTTTTCCACTACCCGTCGTTGCCTGAAAGGATTTGTCAATGAATCATTTGCAGTCAATTGTATTTTATTAAAGTTACCATTTCTTGTGTATTTTTTGATATTTTGTAAACAAAAATTATTTTCCAGCAGGTTACGAAAAGAAGACGTGAGAAAATCAATCAATAATAAATGTCAAACGCTTTTCTACGAATATTTTTCGGACTTGTTCGGAAAGCTAAAGTGGGGCAGGGTTGCATTAACTGTAAAAACTTGGCGATCGCATGCGAATGCTTTGCGTACGCACACAGTTGAGTATGGGCTTAAAAAAAGGCATATTATGCATTTTAAATTAGTTTTTATTCTATATATTCGAAAGATATTTTAATTTTCTATCTTGTGATGTATCAACTAATGCAAAAAGTTAAGTAGTAACGCAGATATTGGTCAATATAAAAAGCTCACGCACACGCTCGCATTGAACTGTGTAGCAAGCTGAACGAGTTGTCCCTTCTTATAAATAGTCACACCATCGATAGTTTTGATAGTTTTCAGAAAAACTATCAATATTCACGATAGTCTCGAAAAAAACCAATCTATCGATAGCGTTCTAAATTCAGTTAGGATGCTTTGTTCATAGTGATCATAGTGAAAAAATATTATCTTTTAAAAGTTATAATCATTCAAAATTAAGTAAATGCTTAGCCAAAATACTTCTCTTTTTAGAAAGTTCAAAAACAAACACAAGTTATACAAACAAAACAGGATTTACGATTAACATATGTATGTATTTTGGCCTAAATGCGTGCATATTTGAATATGACGTCGGCATCACACTAAAAAACAAAATTTTTAATTCAAATTAAAAAATTCAAATAATTGGTAGAGATGATCGATAGTCCTACTAAACTATCGATAATTTTGATAGTATAAGAAAAAACTATCAATGAGTATTGATAGTCTAAAAAAATTTAAACTATCGATACTATCGATAGTGCCATCGATAGTTTGACAACTCTACTAATCAGCTGTAGAAAAGTTTGTATTTTGTTTCGGCTGCAATTTAAAACAAAAGTTGCATTTTCATAAATGGAAATCACTTTGGCATTGCTCAAACCTCACGTGGTTCGCAATGTCTACGCATTCCAGCAGATCAAGCAAATAATTCAGGAAAACTTCACCGTGCTGCACTCGAAGGAGGTTCATATTACGAAACAGTTATCGGAACATTTCTATGCAGAACACAAAGGCAAATTCTTCTACAATAGATTGGTTACATTCATGGGCAGGTGCCGTTCTTCTCGTTGACTTTGATCCAAATAACATAGACTCATGAAATGTATTCTCGTTTAGCGGTCCCTGCCACGCGTTCATCCTACAATCGAAAGACAGCATAGCTAAGTGGCGCGGTCTAATGGGACCCACGAAAGTTTACAGGGCTGTATATTCCCACCCAGATTGTATACGCGCACTGTATGGTTTGTCTGATACGCGTAATGCATGTCATGGTTCAGATAGCAAAGAATCGGCGACACGTGAGATTTCGATAATATTTCCAGAATTAGATGAAAATCAATTTACAACGGCTGATAGCTAACAGAAGAAGAAATAGCTGAAAGGCACACTTTGTTAGATTCGGAACTGAAAATACTATGCTTCCTTGATTCCCTTCTTTTCAAACTGGGATTGCACGCAACACAAGCGCTAAATTTGGATTTAACACAA